TTGTTTGGCAGGCCCGGGCTGGGGATTCGAACCTGCCACCTTAGGTGTATGTGGCTGGTGCCTTAGCCGCTTGAGCCACAGGCGCCGAGCCGCAACACTCTATTTCTTAAACTGGGTGGTAGTACATGGGTATCCTATTTTAGAAAAGGCCTTTTATATCTCTTATTTAATAAATAATTTAAAAATTATAAAATCTACCCAGTGAAATATCATGCAGAGTCTGGTAGATCTATACAGGCTTGATTTGTAATGGTCTCTAAGACACACTGGTAAAGAGTCAAGGTGAAAAGATATACTTGTTTTGTTTAGGAAAAGGAAAATGTGCTTATTATACACAGAAATTTCTAGAAGGACTAAAAATGGTATAGTCACGTAGCATAATGTTTTGGTCAATGATGGATCACACACAGGATGGTGGTCCCCTAAAATTATAATGGAGTTGAAAAATTCCTTTCACCCAGTGATATCACTGCTGTCACCTCATGTGACACCCATGTGTAGTGACACTGGTCTAAACAGACCTGCTGGGCTGCCAGTCACAAAGTGCATGACACCTGATGATGGTATCAATGACTATGTTGCCAGTTTATGTATTTATAATACTATACTGTTATTATTTAAAAAATACTTATTACTACTATTTTTAAAATAGGATGGGGTCTCACTTTGTTGTCCAGGCTCGCCTCCCATTCCTGGGCTCAAGCAATTCTCCTGCCTTAGTCTCCCAGAGTGCTGGGATTATAGGCATGAGCCACCTGGCCCAGCATGTCATTATCTTAGAGTGTTCCCTTACTTCTAGAAAAGAAAACAAAGTTAACTGCAAAACTGCCTCAGGCAAGTTCTTTAGGAGCGGTTTCAGAAGGCCCTGTAATCACAGGGACCCAGCTCTGTGAGTGTCACCGCCCTGAAGATCTTCCAAGGAGACAAGCCAAGAGGGTAGAAAAAGTGATGGTGATGATCCTGACCCTGGGTAGGCCTAGGCTAATGTGTGTTTGTGTCTTGGTTTTTAACAAAAAGGCTAAAAAAGTAAAAAAATTAAAAAACTTAAAAATAGAGAAAAGTTTATAGAATATGATTATAAAGAAAATATTCTGTATAGCTGTACAATGTGTTTGTTTTAAACTAAGTACTACTACAAGAGTCAGAAAGTTAGAAAAATTTAAAAGTTTATAAACTAAAACGGTTGCAGCAAGCTAAGGTTACTTTACTATTAAAGACATTTTTCATAGTCTTAGAGCAGTTAAGTTCATAGTCTTAGAGCAGCCCAAGCGTACAGTGCATATGAAGTCTGCAGTGGGGCACAGTGATGTCCTCTGCCTTCAGTCACTCACCACTCACCGACTCACCTAAAGCAAATTCCAGTCCTGCAAGCCCCTGAATAAGTGCCCTATTCAGGTATACTGCTTTTTATCTTTTATACCGTATTTTTATTGTACCTTTTCTATGTTTAGGTAAGTTTAGACACACAAACATTTACCTTTGTGTTACAATTGCCCACAATATTCAGGAAGCAACGCACTGTGCAGTGCGTAGACCTAGGGGCACCAGGCTGCATCACGCAGGCAAGGTGTTCAGCCAGCTGTGCTGAATAAGTTTCTGGGACATACTCTGTGATGTGGGCAAGGATGAAATTACCTAATGACTCATTTCTCAGAATGTTGTGTCCCCATCATTAAGTGATGGGTCTGAGAAAGGAAACTAGATGTCTGGGATAGAAATGACACTTTTCAGTGTATACTTTCTTAATCACTTTGAATGATTTTTCTATGTACATACAAGGTCAGACAATTAAGTTTGAGAACTCATCCTAGAAAAAGTGCTATGTACCCCATTGCTGAATACTATGGTCACCTTAGAGGTATTACCCTTGGGATGCTATGCACCAACCCCAACACAAGTCTACCCTTCAAAGCAAATCCAGAACTCTTTCTTGAATGGGCATCAGAGTTGTCATCATACAGGTCAGACAATTAAGTTCAAGAACTCATCCTATAAAAAGTGCACATTTCTCATTGCTGAATATTGCTGTGGTCACCAAATAGCCAAGGTGAGTACTTCAAAGGTGACTGTAATGATATTTAGTAATGAGGTACATAGCACTTTTTCTAGGATGAGTTTGTGAACTTAACTGTCTGACATTGTATATAGTCCTTTAAAGATTAAAATTTTAAAAAATTGGCTCGGCGCCTATAGCTCAACCAGCTAAGGCGCCAGCCACGTACACCTAAGGTGG